CTCAGCCAAATAATCAAAAGCAATTTTATTTGTCTGCATAGCCTAATACTATATAAAAATTAATATTTTGCAGTTTCAGGGTTTCGGATGAGGTTTCGGGTAAGGTTTCGGGTAGGGTTTCGAGGTTTCAGATAAGGTTTCGGAAGCTATAATTCGAAACCCGAAACTTTCAGATTTTAGCTCAAAGGGTTTCGGGGCCAACTCTAATTCACACATAAATTGTTTACGTTCATCTAAAGATGAACGTGAAGCATTTAAATATGGGCACCAAGATGTCTGTTCATACACGCCCCATTTAAATTCATTAAAAAGACAGATATGGGATATTTTAACATTGTAACGATTATCCGAAAATGGTTTATTGGTGAAGGGGAAAGTTGGAATTATAAATTAGAATAGATAGACGAAAGGAGGATATTTTGTCAATAGGGTAGTTTAAAGAATTTATATAGATCAAGGATGTATTTAAAGGCTAACTTTCTGACCTTCAATAAAGTCTTCTCAGACTTTGTTCTCAAACGTTTTTCTCTTGTCTTATATAAAATTTGAGGCTGATTGAAGCCTAGCATAAATTATACACTGTATTGTAAACCCCACGCTCTTGTCAGCATTAAGTTATCTTAATGCGCGTTTGTTATTTTTATTTTCTTTTGACTTTCTTATATATCTTTGTGAATACATCTTCACAAGTAACCTCGTAATAATATGTGAACACATCTTCACATTTACACACATAATACATTGTACTAACCCCAATACCCCATCACGTCTTAAATCAATCCCGTCCCGTTTTGGGTTGTCAACAATTGACAATCAGGATTGATTAGATCACCTGCGTAACCCATATCCCGATACGTATCCCTTAACATTAACCTCACAGCTCCCCTTCCCTATTTGGATAGACCCGGCCAGTTTCATATCGGTAACGATACTCGCTAACCCGATACCCCTTCCTTGGTTTTCCCACACTATAACTAGACGCCTTTTTGCCCTTTTAAATTATCTTCGGTTCACTATCCTGAGACAAACCGGCACCGTATCACCTGACGCTCTCCCAAACCGATAGTAACAACGGAAATAATATTTAATGGATAATTATAATAACGATAAAATGGATAAACGTTAAACACACTAACTGTTATTCAATTGCTTTAAACCAATAATATAATTAAATGTTAATAATTAAATTATAAATGTCTGAAGATAAATAGATGTAATAAGTATTTATAGTACCTTAACATAACGCTTAGCTTCTAGGGTTCCAGGACGATTTAAACTTGCGGAGTATAAATCCCAAAAAACTGTCCACCATTTGTATAGAAAGCCATTGGGCGCTTGTATAGGAAAATCAATATCTGGAAGCGGTGTGATATCACTACATGAACTTACATTTACTGAAGTTGCTATACCGTTATTTTTCATATAATTCCGAAAGTCACCCTCATTCAAAAAAAGTTAGGGCTTTCCTTATTGCCTCACTATGCTTTAGATAATCGTATACATAAACATTTAACAATCTTCGTTGCTGTTGGTCCAAGGATTGCTGGTCTTGATCTACGTAACTATGTATGTCTACCGTTCCAGAATGATTTAAATTTGCGGAATATATATCCCAAAACACTGTCCACTATTCGTATAGAAAGCCTTCGGGCGCTAGTACAGGTACGTTAACGTCTTAGCGGTGTGATATCGACGTAAGGACTCTCATTTATTATGTTGCTCTGAAAGTCACACTCATTCAAAAAGCTATGGCCGTCTTTGTTGCCCTATTACGTTTCAGATAATCGTACACATAAGAATTCAATAACCTTTTCTCTCTACGCATTAGGCCTCTCCGATTTTGCTTCGTTTGAGAGGTCAATATCATAAGTGTCTTTTGAAAAAAACAAAGATGGTAGTATTCAGATACTATAAAGTATATTGTGCCATTATGAACTTTAAAAAAAAATAAACGTACACAAAGGTCCCAAATGTCGATAGTTTACGGTATCAAACATAATATTCTGCATAAGGTTAAACCCTTCTTCAATCTATATTATCGGCAATAAATTTAATGTTATCGATTCATTGATACTCATCAAATAATAAAATTTAACTTTGATAAAAGAATAGAATACCTCCATGTATCGAAGAGTTTTAAAGAGAATACCATATTCACTTAGAAGGTTTTGATGATGTACAGGCAGATTCGCTGTGTAATTTGTTGTGATAAAGATGAAGCTTGTAAACTTTAAAAAATTGTTGAAATAAACTGTCAAATGACCAGTTGTAATAACCTATATACATTGTTAATTAAAAAATGATTATTTAGAAATGTCAAATGAGAAATGACGTCTTTGTAATATACCTGCATTCCGTTTTCATACAAATACATTATTGAAGCCGAAGGACACTCTATAGACTATATTTTAAATGCAGAATTTCTAATTTGAATTCTATCTTCTTCAATCCGCATTCGAAAAAGGAATGATAAAATCTGGGAATGACTGGGTATTTTAATTCTAATTCCAATATCGTTCGTTATTGTTCTATGATAGCAAATAACATTAATGAAATTATAAACACATACCGAATTTTCTCTTTACATTATCGCCAGATAAACGATGCATCTTCAGCAAAAAAAGAATATACCAAACGTTTCAACTGACAAAAGTTGTAATTTTTACTACCTAATTGTTCTACAAAAGAAATAATCTTCGTAAACAAATATTCGTTCCTTTTTATATGAATGAGTCATAAAATCAATGATTAGTTTTATTATCTGTGACCAGAAATGTTATCATTACAAAAAACGATGATTATTTACATATATTCATTATCGTATATATGTTATGTGTCACTTCGCAATTCATGTTAATTTCAAAATGACATATGTTGATTAAAGATTACAATTTAACATATGTTAAATAATAA